AGAGAGAGAGAGAGAGAGAGAGAGAGACCAAAAACATTAGGTTTGGCAAAATCAATTATTTGATATATTCATAAAAAGAACGCACTGGACGACAGAAAACAACTGGGCTGGACAACAGAGGAATTCTTTCACTGGTGAAGGAAAAACCCTTCACAGCCAGATCAGGCACAGCCTCCAGGAGATGAGATTATCTGTTTCATTAATCACGAGAGGACTTCAGCAGAATAAATACAGAGAGTTTACCACAAGATGCGGGAGTCGTGGACTGGAGGTTAGGGAACGGGCATTGTGACCAGAAGGTCGCCGGGTCGGCCTCCTGAGCTGAGAGGCCATGTATGAATTACCCTTGAGCACCTAACCCCCGACTTCTCCCTGGGCACTGTGGATAGGGCTGCTCACTGCCCCTAGTGTGTGCGTTCACTAGTGTGTATGTGGCGTTTCACTGCACAGATGGGTTATATGCGGAGGTGAATTTCCCCGCTGTGGGACGAATAAAGAATAACTAATTATTATTCTTTATAAGATCTAGATCAGTGATACTCCTCGTACTCCAGATTACCAAAAAAAAAAAAATCCTCATCCGTCCATCTTATGGACAGATGAGATCAACCTGGACTAGAATGATGGGAGAGTTTGGAGAAGGGAAGGATCTGCTCATGTTCCAAAGCATACCACTTCATCTGTCCAGCATGGTGGAGGTAGTGTTACGGTGTGGGCTGTTAATGGAACTGGATCCCTGGTATTTATTGATGATATAACTGCTGATAAACGTGTGTTCACCCTGTTTGATCTTCAACCAAGTATTAAACATGACTATTTAATTTAGTTTGTCCAATTACTTTTGAGTCCCTAAAAAATGAGCATGCTATCATAGCCTGGCTAGGTATGGAAATGGTTGTAATTCCTACACTGTTCACCTGATCTGGATGTGAATACCCTCAGATCAAATCGGAGCTCATATGCTGTGGTATGAAGCTTAAATAACAATGACTTTGTCAATGTCCGAATATGTATGGACTTGACTGTATGTCAAGGAAACTGCTTAGGAAATATAGATAACTTAAAAAAATTAAGATAACTTGTGGCATTTATGTTAACAAAGTGCCTGAATTAAGGGAGATAGAGAAAAAGAAATGGGGGAACAAGCGTCTCTGACCTTTGCTCATGCGTTTGCACAATACTGTGGTTACTTATGGTCAGTGTGCATATTTTTACAGTGTATTTTGACCCATCTGCCCCATAATACTGAACTCCCAGCCAGCCTAAAAGCATTCAGAGACACTACAGCTCTGTATTCAGTCATCTCTCTCAGACTCAGTATCAGCGTTTCAGACTTTGATCTGCTGCCACATCAGTCACACACAAGAAGAGAGAACTCTTACAAAGAATGTTGACCGTCTTTATCAGATTCAGTGATGTAAGCTAATGCCAGGTTATTATTGGGCAAACATACAGTAGAAAAGGAAGAAGTCCCAGTTTGAGCTTTTATATTAAAATGATAATGATGAAATAAAAAAAGTCAGAGACCACCATTAATTTATTTAATTCACATTTAAAACAGCCATTAAGTAGAAGTTATTCATTAAGTGTTCAGTGAGTCACTCTTTACCTTTAATTCCAGCTTCCATTCTGTTCAGGAGACTCACTTTCAGTTCCTCAAAGAATCTGCAGACACACCTCCAAAGTTCAGTCTTAGAAGCTGGTTTAACATTTTCTGAATCGCACCATCAAAGTAATCTTTGAGCAGAAAAGTGTATTTCTGCATGTACACAATGCAATCGTGGTTTGAAAGTTCGACAGTACAAAGGTTTTGTTGGTCATGCTTGTTTAACTTGGTCACAGCCCTGCAGTGAAACTGTACTCAGATCTGCTCGGATGAACAAACCTGATCTTTGATGATGTAAAAGTTACGACAGCTACAGTTGTATGCCAAGGTTTGGTCAGCCCTGGCCAAATTACGTATTTTCGTAATTTTTTTTTTAAGTGAAAAAGACATAAATACAACCTCAACACCAAACTATTTTTTTCTGCAAATGGTAATGTACACAGACTCCACCTATTTAATCAGTTTATCTTAGTCTTGTTGATCTCCTGCTTTGTTGGAATGTAAACCTGCAGCCACACCAGCCCTTTACAGATAGGATTGGTCACCCCATCAGTACTAACGACTCTTTTGGCAGATCTTACAGCTTGCAAATGCTTTTTGTAGCCATCTAGGAGTCTTTTGGTTCTTGTTTTAGGAATTTCCACCCACTCTTCCATACAGAACGACTCTAGTTCTCTGAAATTCTTGGGCTGTCTTGCACGCACAGCATGTTTAAAATCCCCAGGTTTTCAATGATGTTCGCATCATGGGGCTGTAAGGGCCACTCCAAAAGCTTCAGTTTGAGTTTGTTTAAAATAATTCATGATGGATTTTGAGGTGTTTCGGATGATTGTCCTGTTGTAGGAGCCTCTTTTCAGCTTCGGTTCCTTGACTAACTGATTTGGTTCCATAATTTGCTGATATTTAGTGAATCCATTCTTCCATCTACCTGTCCACTGTTTCCTGTGACACTGTGTGCCACACAACCCTAAAGCATAATAGATCCACCCCCATGCTTGGTGTCCTTTCATCAAATGCAGAAAGTGGAAATTGCAAGGTGGAATGTTTTGGTATCTTTTCTGGCCTTATCCTGCTTTGCAGGCAGCTGATCCCCAGCAGCTGCTTAGAGGAGCCTGTGGTTGTTGAGTGTTAGCAGGTTTGGAGAGTCAGAGAATTATTTGCTTCCTGAAATGATCACCAGCTGACAGTTCCTAATGACAGTTCTTGACCTGCCTAACCAGCCCTAATGAGTTAATTAAGGCCTAACGAGTTCATTTAATTCTGAGACTTTACAAAATGTGGGTGTCAACTTTTGCACATGCACATTTTTTTATTTTTAAAGTTAATCAAATATTAAGTAGCCATTCATTTGAATCAACAAAATATGTAATTTGACCAGTGATAATAATAATAATAATAATAATAATGGTCTTTATTTTATATAGCACTTTTCATGCTGGTGGCAGCTCAAAGTGTTTTACAGACAGGCGGTAAAGCTTAAAAGTAATACAAGAAATTATAAGTATTGATTCGAAATCATATTAAAAAATGACACAGATCACATTAAAATATAAAAACCGAAGAGACATTCAACAAAAGATAGTTTTAATGAAACACTGAGTTAAGGAGCTGCATGTTCAGATGTTTATTAAAAGTGAGCTCTGAGCTCGACTGTCTAATAAAAGCTGAACTGAGCTCCACAGTTTAGAAGCAGAATAACTGAGAGTCTCTCCACGTTTTCTGTGTTTTACTGAAGGAGTTTGCAGGTCAGAATCTGCAGATCTGAGATCAGACATTCAGGAGCTTTAAGATCATTTAGAGCTTTAAAAACCAGCAGCAGAGCTGTAAAATCTATCCTGAATGATCCAGGCAGTCAGTGCAGTTCTTTTAAAATGGGCGTGATCTGATCTCTCTGTTTTGTTTTTGTTAGAATGCTGCCACATTTTGTGGTGCTCAAACTTTTGTGGTGCTCAAACTTTTGTGCTGTTCTCTCATCATCATTGCCATACTGATTATGTCTCAAATACACTACTCGGACACTGGTGTCAGGAGTGCGTAGGCAAGCTAAAATCCTGCTTTTCCTCCGGTGATAATGGAGTTCCCCAAGGTTACAGTGTGGGCTCTCCGTTGTTTTTGTAACACTAAACACTAATTATAAAAATAAACACTAATTGTGGAAAAATAGAATAACAAAAAATATTTAACTATACTCAGGAAGGTCCTGAAATTAACACTAAAGTGACATAAGGCACAAGCAGATTAAGGTCTGTGGGTTAGAATGAGCTTATGGAGCAGTTAAAGTGACGAGTGCATAACAGAAAGTGATGGATGCGTAACAGTCCCTGAGAATGTCAGAGTTCAGTATTGGGGAGTGGGGGTCAGGAACCTGTGTTTGGGTCCAAACTCTGTGTGTGCGTGGGGCAGAAGGTGGGGGGGGCAAAGTAAGGAGAGAGTTCAGCATCCTGACAGCTTGGTGGATGAAGCTGTCCCCCAGTCTGCTGTTCCTGGCCCGGAGACTCCTCAGTCTCCTCCCTGATGGCAGCAGGCTGAAGAAGCTGTGTAGTGGGTGAGTGGGATCACCTGCCATGCATTTACATGCATTTACTTAATTTCCAGTCAAAATGGTCATTGGGCACATCTTATTCACTTCTTTCATCTCTGAGAGAGAGGAGAAAATCAAGCTGCTTCGGATCTGAAAACATCCACAGGTGTTTCTATCCATCCTTTTCCAGGATAAATCGATCTCAAATAAGAACAGGACTGAAGAATGTTTCACATGGATGACACCTTGTGGCTGGGAAATGATCTACACTCTTAAAAGAGATTCTTCAAGGGTTCTTTAGTATAGCCAGTGATTCTATACAGAATCATGAACACTCAAAGAACCATTTGCATGCTTGAGTGGTTCTTTGCATGGTGGAATGGTTATTCCGATTGATTTCATTCCTAAATGGTTCGGACTGGTGAAATGGTTCTGGAGAACGTGTTGCATATGGTTCTGTATAGCACCAAAAAGGGTTCTGCTGTTGTGTAAATGTAAAGCTTGTACTGATAGAAGACAATTTGGTGCTACCAAATAGCTAGAACGTTGGGGGACTGTGAAAGAAAGAACTGGAGTTGTTGAAAATGACGGTTGCTCTCACTTTAACATGAAACCTGCTCAGAAGTGCAGGCTGACTGTTGGAGCTCCAGCGTGTCTGAAGCAGCTCTTATGACAAGGAGATGTTGGTTAATGGTGACTCTCACTGCTGAGGGCTCTACGGCGGTGAAGCCTGGAGCTGGAGTGAGCTGAGCTAACCCGGCTCGCTGCGCTCCTCCGGGGCTGCGGCCGAGCGCCCATCTCTCTCTGATCCGGCTCGCTCTCTCACTGCCAGCCCACATGACCCGCGACGTGAGGAAGACTCCGGGGGGCTCGCCTTAGCCCACTAATGACGTGGGTCGTTTTGACAGGATCATGTTGAAGACGAAGGACCTCCAGCTCTCTTCTGAACTGTGTGAGCTGAGTGCGTATTGATCGCAGACTGAGTTAAAGGAGCAGCCTGTTCAATTACAAACCATGTCATTAGACCAGGTGTTCAAACGTGCTGATCATAGTACAGGTTTATGATTCTGAAAAAGAATAACAGTAATAACACAGGAAGACGTATCAAACCACTATTAAACCCTCATAGTTAACTGGGTTAATTAGGCCTTGTAACTTGTATGTCAACATGGATTCTAAGAAAACATTCGTTTAACCATTTAAGAAATGTAGCCATCTCAGGAGGAGCACCTCAGTATTTACAGAATCCCACAATTACAGGTTATCTGTCATATGTCTGTCTATCAATCAATCAATCTATCTATCTAAATATCTACATATCTATCTATCTATCTATCTATCTATATATGTATGTATCTATCTATCATCTGTCTATCTATTTATCTGTCTGTCTGTCTGTCTATCTATCTATCTATTTATCTATCATCTGCCTGTCTATCTATCTATCTGTCTGTCTGTCTATCTATCTATCTCTCTGTCTCTCTGTCCATCTATCTATCATCTGTCTATCTATTTATCTATCTCTCTGTCTGTCTATCTATCTATCTATCTATCATCTGCCTGTCTATCTGTCTATCTATCTACCTATCTTTCTGTTTGTCTATCTGTCTTTCTGTCTGTCTGTCTATCTATCTATCTGTCTGTCTATCTATCTATCTCTCTGTGTCTATCTATCAATCTATCTGTCTATCTATCTACCTATCTTTCTGTCTGTCTATCTGTCTTTCTGTCTGTCTGTCTATCTATCAATCTATCTGTCTATCTATCTACCTATCTTTCTGTCTGTCTATCTGTCTTTCTGTCTGTCTGTCTATCTATCTATCTGTCTGTCTATCTATCTATCTCTCTGTGTCTATCTATCAATCTATCTGTCTATCTATCTACCTATCTTTCTGTTTGTCTATCTGTCTTTCTGTCTGTCTGTCTATCTATCTGTCTGTCTATCTATCTGTCTGTCTGTCTATCAGTGTGTCTCTCAGTTCACAGTGTAAGTGAGAGCTGAAGTGTGTGTAAATGCTGAATGTCATGAGTTTTGAGGTTACAGTGAGTAATGTTGTGAAGCTGAGCTCACTGTAATCACAGACCTCGATCTAAACGATCACGCTGGACTCTCAGTTACACTGAACTCTCAGTGCCGTGGTTGCCAGCTCTGTCGTTTCTGCGCTGGTTTAGAGGATGTAACAGAGACAGTAAGAAGCATGACCGAAACAGGCTGCAAAACAAAAGTCACGATTGATGCAGCAAACAAATGCAGCTCCTTCTCTGAGGGGAATCGCAGCGCTGCAGCAGGAACAATAGGACCATTGGTGGAGGTTTGGTTCCTGAGTGTCACCGCCTGTACTTGGTGGTGAGGGGTTTTGAAGCTAAATGAGCCATTGTCCTTTTCCCTCCATCCTGTTTCAGACTCACGGCTGTAGGTTACAGGTTGGAGAGCCATCGCTGGACCTTCTGCAGGAGAAATTATCCACCACTGATACACGGATGAGCTGTCCAGATGGGGAGGTAGGTGCTGCTCTACGTCACTGCCTCACTTGATTTGGTCTGGAAGCAGGTATGTTTGGATGGTTCCTTTGGTTGTAAGAGTTCCGTTCTGTACCTGCAGAACCAAAAAGCGCTCTTTAAAGTAAAGCCATAAAAGAAAAATGTTGCCTTTCAATAGAAGGTTCTTTAAAAAAACTAAAAAATTAATCCACACAACTGTATGGAAAAAAAGGGGTTCTTCTATCGCAGCAGTCACAAAGAACCCTTTTAGGCACCTTCATCTGAGTGTACTCTGGGCAACCTAAAGAACCACATTTGGAAAAGAAATGTGTGAGTGTGAAGAACCTTTACAAAAAATTAAAATGTTAAACAATGTAAAGATTCTATATAAATTTAAGGGTTCTTCCTAGACCGTTTATGTTATGTGAGGTTCTTTAAATTTAGAAATGTTCATCATATTCACATCTCATTTACATAAATCATTTTAAAGAACCTTTCACTGAAAGGTTTGTAAGGGAACTGAAGTGGGTTTTAGGCACCTTTTTTAAGACTTTACGAGGAGGAGGTTATTTAATGATTTGTGATTATGGGAGAAACAGTGGGATTATGGGAGCAGCACTGGGGTTATGGGAACAGCAGTGGGATTATGGGAGAAGCAGTTCGGTTTTGGGAGCAGCAGTGGAATTGTGGGAGCAGCAGTGGGATTGTGAGAGCAGCAGTGGGATTTTGGGAGCAGCAGTGGGATTGTGAGAGCAGCAGTGGGATTTTGGGAGCAGCACTGGGATTATGGGAGCAACACTGGTGTTATAGGAGCAGCACTGGGATTATGGGAGAAGCAGTTGGATTTTAGGAGAAGCAGTGGGATTTTGAGAGCAACAGTGGAATTTTGGAAGCAGCAATAGGATTATGGGAGCAGCAGTCGACTGAAGCAGGTGATGAGAGTCAAAATAATGTTAAAAATTTTGTAACTTTATTTACTTCTCCCGTAATCCCACTGCTGCTCCCATAATCCCACCGCCATCTCATTATGGCAAACCTAACAGTTTGCCATATCGCGATAACAAAATCCTTGCTAATGTGACTATACAGTGGGTAGCTTTGTAGTGTCTGGTTAAAAGCTTGTATGTAAAGTGCCACAAAACTCCTGCACAAGTTCAGAACAACACAATGTTATAATAACAGACAATAACTGACTATCACATTGATTTATCAGTCTACTCAGGCTTTAGCAGAGCTCAGTAACGCTGAGATTAATAACTGATCACATTGATTTATCAGTCTACTCAGGCTTTAGCAGAGCTCAGTAACGCTGAGATTAATAACCGATCACATTGATTTATCAGTCTACTCAGGCTTTATCAGAGCTCAGTAACGCTGAGATTAATAACTGATCACATTGATTTATCAGTCTACTCAGGCTTTATCAGAGCTCAGTAACGCTGAGATTAATAACTGATCACATTGATTTATCAGTCTACTCAGGCTTTAGCAGAGCTCAGTAACGCTGAGATTAATAACTGATCACATTGATTTATCAGTCTACTCAGGCCTTAGCAGAGCTCAGTAACGCTGAGATTAATAACCGATCACATTGATTTATCAGTCTACTCAGGCTTTATCAGAGCTCAGTAACGCTGAGATTAATAACTGATCACATTGATTTATCAGTCTACTCAGGCTTTATCAGAGCTCAGTAACGCTGAGATTAATAACTGATCACATTGATTTATCAGTCTACTCAGGCTTTAGCAGAGCTCAGTAACGCTGAGATTAATAACTGATCACGTTGATTTATCAGTCTACTCAGGCCTTAGCAGAGCTCAGTAACGCTGAGATTAATAACTGATCACGTTGATTTATCAGTCTACTCAGGCTTTAGCAGAGCTCAGTAACATTGAGATTAATAACCGATCATATTGATTTATCAGTCTACTCAGGCTTTAGCAGAGCTCAGTAACGCTGAGATTAATAACCGATCACATTGATTTATCAGTCTACTCAGGCTTTAGCAGAGCTCAGTAACGCTGAGATTAATAACTGATCACATTGATTTATCAGTCTACTCAGGCTTTAGCAGAGCTCAGTAACACTGAAAATCAGTGACACTGAAATCAGTCTGAAATGAAGGGTACTAATTTGGAATTTGTGACAGATAGTGTATGTTCTCTGTATGTCTGCTGAGCTTTAGAGCATCAACCCTGTATTCAGATCTGCAGGCATTTGGACTTTCTGTTACACTCTGAGCTTCTACTCACTGGCCACTTTATTAAAACAAGCCAAGAAAATATTTAAACATTTATATTTCACCAAGGGTCAAAAAATAGTTGTCTAAGAGTTGATTTTGGTTTGAAATTTTCACAGTATATCTGTTTAGTATCTGTCTATCTATCTGTCTGTCTGTCTGTCTGTGTAGTTGAGTAGGCCGGTGATCAGTATGCATGTAATTTAGCTGATTAAATAACTCATTCTAAGTGTTGTGATATAAACTGTAGTTGTTGGAGCTAAACTGTTAGGGGTCCCAGGTAGTAGCCATGGTATTGCTAGAGTACTTGTTTCATGGTGATAAGAGGGGTGCACAAACCTTTGACCACATACCGTATGTTGACTGAGGTGGAATAAGAGATATACATAAGGAGAATGATTCAGTGTCTGGATGTTGTGCGTTCCTCTCTTTATTGATGTCAGTTCCTTTGCAGAAACACTGCATGAAAATCATACTTAGTTCAAAAAGCACAAACACACACTGTTTGAGTAAAGGCACTGTGCAAAGTTTGGTGGTTCTAGCTCGAAACCTGCACAGGGAAAAAATCATTTTTAACAGAGAACAATATTAAGAAGAACATGAAGAACAGTAAGTTGGCCTTGTCTGTGTCAGACATGTCAGTGTTGATACTGGTGAGAAATCAGACCTCTTCATGGCTGTAAGGTTGAGTCAGTGTCCATATGAGGGACCCAGTAAAGTTTCTAGGGGGCCTGGTTGGGGTGGGCCTCACGTCCCATTCAAGGTCAATGAAAACTAGCCTTGTTTACTTTTGGCCTGACAAGGACACAATAACACAAAGAGAGTGTCCTGCAATCAGTGACCTGGAGCAGATAGGGTCATTGAACCCTCTAAAACGGTACTGGAGGTGAACTGGTTTAAGTTGGGTCATTTACAATTCTTGGCCACTTTAACGGAAACCTCTCTCTTGTTGTTTCACTTTGCTGGCGTACAGTTAATTCTACAGCAGTTTAGCTCCACCCATTAATTCTACAGCAGTTTAGCTCCACCCATTAATTCTACAGCAGTTTAGCTCTGCTCATGTTTTTGTTTTTTAAAGCCAGTGCTGTCCATTTAAACACCTGCAGAGATAGAGGGACGAAGAAAGCAGTCTTACGAGGTTCGTCCAGTGCACAGTGTGTCCCTGGCTTCGGATATTTGGATCAGAAACCTCACAGAACCGGCCAAGCACAACAATCTTATCCAACATCTAGCAGAGCTCCCTTCACATGCTTCTCATTCCAGAGTCAGTGACCCGAGGAAATCCCTGCCACAGGGAGATATTCATATGTAGATGCTTTTAAAAACTGCTGAGATTAATTCCTGTATAAGCCCTGGTAACAATGAAGCAATCACCACATTGTGTGTAAATTTCATGAAGAATGGACCAAAAGAAACAGCCCAAAATTACTTAGGAAAAACAGGCCAAGGAAGACGCCGTCAGGAAACAATGAGTAAAGTATGCCGTGAAAATAGAAACTGCTCAACAAAACAGTGAAAACCAGCAGTCAGTGTTTGTGACAGAGCTGTAAGAAATGGATTTACATGCAGAGAAGCCAAATGAACACCAGCACTCAGACCTAAACAGAGGAAAACAAGTCTGTTCTGGCTGAAGAGAAGCTGTTATGGAGAGCAAATGATTCAGTGATCAATCATAAATCTGTGTTGGCTGAGATGATGATTACTGGAACTTTTGTCTGGGGTGGTTCTAATAAAAACATATGAAGACGACTGCCTGAGGAAAACAGTCAGATTTCCCCACTCAGTTCTGATACTGGGTTTTAAAGGTGTTAAGGCACATCAGCTCTGACACGGCCAGCAAGCAGTCCAGATCTCAGTCTGATCGAAAATTGATGGTGGAAATTTAAAAATTGGTCCATGTTACGGCTCCATCCTTCAAAGCTGATCTGTCAGCTGTTACTGGAGAAAGCTGGACCAGCTGGGTGTAGAATAGTGTTTCTCATTATTGTTGAAGCCACGAAGTACTAATTTTTTATTGATGACAACATCGAATGATTACATCATTTTTCTTCTACTTAGTCTGGAAAAAAGATGCCATTAATTAAATTTGTTTAATTTATTTTAAGGTGTGTCACAAAGCCAGACTTTTCAGCTATTAAACTAAAATAGTTTTGTGTCATATCTGTGATTTATTTGCTATGAAGTAAAAGAACAGAACATGAAGTTAATAAATGATACAGTGTAATTTTGACTTGTATTTTGTTAGAACTTCAGTCCAGATATTAATTTGATCATTCTAACATTTCTACATTTTAATTTACAGCTTCACACTCATCTGAAAGCTGAAGTTGTTCAAGACAAACAGACTACAATCATTTTATTGAAACCAGATTAATTTTTTGATGCTCACAGTGATTCCAAAATTTTAACCTTGATCTGTCTGTCTATCTGAAAGGAGAACAGGGCTACAGGGCTGAAGAATGTTGTACTGGGTCGCCATCTAGTGGTTGAGAAATTACTCACAATTAATCCCAGCACTGAAAAAGTGCAGCACTGAAAAAACTTGATTCTATTACAGAATTTCAAGAATAAAACGCTGAACATCTCCACAGTTTTCTTATTTTGGTTATAACTGCGTTGATGTAATATTTGTGTATAAGTAATGTGCACATTTGAATAAATTCAGTGTGCTGCCTTATTTCAGTGAGCAGTAACAGGATTGAGACCTGGACTGTGAAAAGAGTCAGTTCATTTAACTACACAATGCTGAAGCTTTATTTTATTATAAAGCTACAAAAGC